CGTTTCTTTCAAAAAATTTTGCGAAATTTGTTTGATGTGTGAAATGTGATGAAATTTGGGAAAACTTAACAAATTTGCACCAAAATTTCAAAAAAATTGCGTCGATTGTCAATGTTTTTACTGCTGATTTTTGCAATTATAAAATGTATTCGCAACCAAATTTCAAAAACTCAACGCCAGTTTTCCGAAATTGCACTATATAAAAATCGCAAAAGCAGTCACCAAAAAAAATAATTTAATCAACGGGATTTTTTAGTCAGTTGAAACTTGCACCTCATTGGACTTAAGTTATAAGGGCCATAAAAGAAATGTTCTAAAGGTTAAGATAAATAAGTTTGAAACTTTTAGGAAAACTTGTAGAATTTTCCAAAATTTTGCATACAGTTTGAAACTTTTATTTATATGGTGTTGTTAAAGTTTGGACAATATTTTTATAGAAAAACAAATAATTTTTTTTTTTTAATATTGTGATTATCTAAAAAACTCAACACGTTGTCACTTACGTGAGTCACGGTATATTCTCAATTCGCGTTCGTAGTCGCTATTTATTGGAAACTAATTTATTTCGTTTGAGAAATTCTGATTTTAATTTTAGTATAATTCTAAATTTTATTTCACCATATCTTTGATTACGTTCCATATGAAACATGAAGCATGCTCTAGGAACCTGTATCCGCATATATGTTGATGTGGTTTTCAAATATTTTTCGAAAACGTGGTGCTAAAGTTAAACTACTTTTTATGTATGCAATAAAAGACAAACCATTTTTAGGTTTTGCAAAACTGTTCTCGGTTGAATAAAAGTTGTACAAAAAACCAGCATTATGAGTTACAGTATTGTACAACCATCAAATCGATAAGTCTTTAAAATTTAGTAAAACCTGATTCTAAACTGATTGTGCCAAATAAGGTATAGAAGTGGATCATAATGACATACAAGCAAATGTCATAAATATTTTATAACTAATATGGCCTAGAATGTAAAATAATACCCATTTACAAATACGCATATACATGCTTACACACGCACACACTTACACACACATAGGCAATTAAGTATAATTGAAAGTAAGAACTCATTAAAAACTGGTTACGCGGCAAACTGAAAATGACGCTCTGATACAAATTTTATTGCACCAAGATTTTCAAAAAAAAATTTGTTTGAAACATTAAAATTTTGTGTTTTTTTTTTTTGTCATTAAGTTCCCATCACTTCTTCAGCCTAACTCTAATCCCACACGATTAATTTGCACCATAATCATTACAGCTCACTCAAAACAAATCGCACGCAATTATCGGAGTATCAACGCATAAATACTTAATTTATTTATTACTTGTCTTAGTTACTCGTAGTTGTTGGCAGCGATTACCAGCAATTGCCAGTGGCAAAAAAGTCGCACGCAAAAAAAAGGCAGCGCAGCCGCAATTACCCGAACAATTGACTTCGTGATTTTTTCCTTCTTAGCCGCCTTTTACTTTTTTTTTGGATTTTCAGACACTTACAGTGGTGTGGTAAATTTATGAATTATGAGTGGTGCGATTGTTGTGCGTATTTTTTTGCTGCTTGTTGGTGTGTATATTTTTGTTGTAATTACGGTCACCGTTACAGTCGCTTGTCGTACAAATTCATTAAAGCTCTATGCTGTTGCGCCTAAAACGCGTCCGCAAACACCTGCACTTCACTTCTGCATGTGTGTGAAAAAGTCGCAGTGCAAGTGACGCCAACCTGGCTGCTAAAGCGCGTTGTGGTACACACAATGTGCTTATGGCATAATACAGCAGCCCGTCATCATCTACATATACACAACAGAGTGAGGTCGACGGTGGCGTGTTGACTAGACATTTCCGCTGCTCCCTTGGGAGCCTATTGTACTCGCACAAATTGTGTTACATTTTTTTTTTTCGCTACATTAAAAGCCTTCATAAATTATAAAGTACTTATAGCTTTAGGAAACCGAAAACCAAAACGAATTCGTTTTCGCTGAAGAAAATTCTGTTGGATAATAAATTCTCGCTGCATTAGAATGACTGAATATCCATTTTTGGTGTTAAACATGATTTTGAAATTTTTGTCATGGCTGCATGGCGCTGCACCACTTACACCAATGACAAGCGGCGCAATTTAATGCAACTAAATTCAATTCAATTCAGTTCATTTCAATTTCCACTCTACGCTGTATTGCAAATGTAATTGCATTGTTTTCTTTTTATTTATTTTTTTTATTTTATGAAAACGCCTAAAAAGCGTCCACACACCCAAATTTGGCTATGCACCGCAAAATCCTTTCGATTTTCGATGCGTGTTGCAATTTTTTAAATGCCTCGAAAAAACTAAAATTGTTTGTCCACCAAACATTTTCATTTTATTTCTTCGTATTTTGTGATTGCATGATTTTCCTTTTAATTCTGCCAGCAAACTGAGTCATTTTATTGCGTTAGGCGTTTTCGCTGTATTCGCACTAGGCACTGAGAAAAATTATGGCACCGCAGCTGCACTTTTAATGGCCCACTTAATTATGCTATTCACTGAGGTAACATTTATGTATCTCGAGAAAGAGGCAAAGATACTATTCTACAAATAATCTGCCATTCAGTCCCACAGATATATAGCCACGACGAATGCAAAAGGAGAAGCAAAAAAACATGGAAAGTGCTTAAAGAAGCCAATAAATCTCGTATTTTTTAAGTTATACTTATGCATTTCGATATGGAAGTGTGTTTTGGTGATAGCACAATATGTAAAAAAACCGCATTTTCGAAAAATGTGTCATATAAAACCATGTTCACTGATGGCGACTATATATATCATGATGCAAAAATGCCAAAGTAAAAAAGAATGTGGATATGCTGATATTCAAAAATATTTTTTTCATCAATATCCTTTTCGATATGTTTATTGACGTCCCTTTCGATATATTTGGGCTTGGTATTCTAAAAACGTTGATCGTTAAATCTATCGAAAAATTTATCGTCGTCGTTATCGATATATTTATCGACGTAACGTTTGATATATATTGAACTATTTCGATATCGTTACTGTTATTTTATTTTCGCATGCCATTTATCGATTTTCCCTCAGCATTAAACGATAAATCTATCGAGATTGTTATCGATAAACTCTTGTTCGTAATCGTATTCACATTTATAAAAAATGTTGAATTTTTTTTTTAATTGCGCAAATTTTAAAGGCAGTACCACTCGATTGGTACATTTGTACAGTTTTATATTGGGCTACTGGTACAAAATAAAAAATTGGGAAAATTTTTTTGTAGTCAAAAGATAGGTACAATACGACGTTGTTCTATTGAAAAATTATTTTTCGTCATTGTGATAAAGAAAATTATTTGGCATTCACTCAATTGGGATACGATTTGCACCAAATTTTGCCAAATACCCAATCGTGTGACACTGCCTTTATTAAAAATTTATGCAACATTGCCTGTCACTACGTGTACTGCAGAACGTTCATTTTCGACTTTGAAACGTCTGAAAAGTTCTTGCGGAACTCGACCGGAGATGAATGAGTAATTGAGGTCAGTGAACTTTGGTACAAGTAAAATTCCCTCCTCGGGATAAGAACATCGATAAATCTCACTTTAATATCTGGCTGTAAATACCGAAGGTATGACGGTAAATGGGTTGGCCAAAAATAAATAAAAAAATAAAAAATGTTCCAAATTGTTTGCAAAAAGACCTTAGACTCAGAGGTGTACGGGAAACTTATTTTTTCTAGTACGGTCTAATGTCCCCACTTCTTTTTATACTTTTTCTTCTCATGCCTTACATTTCAGAAATATTTTAGCCGATTATTTTACTTATACAAATAAGGAAGCCCCACTGAATTATTAATTTCCAGCTAAATTAAATTACTGTCATTCATTGCAAAACGCACGTCTGGTTAAGCTTTAAAAGGAGGCGCTGAGAAGTCGAGCGTTGTTGAGATACAAAAGCACTTTTAAGGAAAATTTGGGCCAGCACTAATTTTTGGAATTTTAAATTAGGCGTACAAGCAAGTTATTAAAGAAAAATTGGTTGTTGCAAAACTATTCTTCAGCAGCCCGTCAGATAAAGGAAATAAATTTTTAATAAATTTTTTTTTTGCACCGAAATAAAAAATTTATACACGCGCAGCATTTTTGATGGAAAAGACTTGCTTGTTTCAATTAGCTTTCGACTACAACTTTCATACACTCCAACAACGTCTCGCCAGTTAACTCGGGAAGCTCTTTTAATCAACTAAATATCGCATCCAATAAAGCAAAAAACCAATTAAAAAAAAAATGTCTCCAAAACTTTGCTGACCAAGTAACAAAAAATCTCATTCGCTCTTTTTTCTACTTGCCGCCAGCGCCACCACCGCCGCAGCCAACGCGTTTAATAGATTTGTGAGACGCCAAGCCTCGATCTGCGGCCAGACCATTGTCGGTGACGCGTTGCTACAATTCGAGCTTCCAACTTGGCGACTGCACGCATTGCCAAATGAACAGCTATGAACAACAACTAGCCAATGCAATGCTAACATCTGCAGCATCTCAGGCAAAAGCATTTGACTTATCCAGAATCGTTTCTGCCACTGCAACTTGCCACAGTCGACGACGCAAGTTCGCGCTTTGAGTCTTTCGTTTGCGGCGCGCATTCGCAGCGTCTAGCCGATTGCAATCAACTTGCTTTTTTTTTCTTTTGATTGTGCGTTTTTATGCGCTCTTATTTGCCAGTATTTTTTTATTTTTATTTTTGTTTGCTTTTAGTTCTGCGTGCAATTCGCACAAGAATGCGCATTTTGTTGTGTTTTTGCGCTCTTCGAATGATTTTTCTAATTTACGATCGAACGCGTTGAACTATAAAAGTAACTGCTTGTCAGCATAGAAATCACAGTTGACTTTTCCACCAACCAATCGACTACTAATCGAAGTCTGTGCGTGCAATTAGTAAACGTGCGTGAAAGAGTTCGCAATAAACGTTTTTAAATCCTCCGCCAAGAGACGCGTCACTACTACAACATGAAATATCTGGTGAGGATAGCGCGTGTGCTGTGTTGCAATGAAGAATCAGATTAGTGCTTGTGTTTCATTATCCTTTGCATATTCTAAATTCAATGTGTCCTTTCCGTTGTGTTACACTAGATCCTGCTCAGCTTGATCGCAGCTGCTACCGCTGCTCCTGGATATTTGGGTTTGGGTGGTTTGGGCCATGAATCGTATGCGGCGCCAGCGCTCAGCTACGCACACGCTGCTCCGGCTATTAGTTACGCAGCACCGGCCATCAGCTATGCTCCAGCGCCGGTCGTCAAGGCCTATGCTGCCCCCGCTGTTGTCGCTGCGCCAGCTGTTGTGAAGGCAGCACCGGCCGCCACTAGTTATTCCACCTTCAGTCAGGTGAGTTTGGGGGATTGTGGTGGAGAAACACGTTTTTTTTGTTTTGAGAAATTAGAAGGATGTGCAAACCGCTGTGACAGTGTTAGTGAGTGTAATTTGAAGCAGACAAAGGGTATGAAAATTCAGTGAAGGAAAGGAGTGAGTTTGCGAAATTTTTTAATTATTCTGAAATAAGCGTTGCCCCAGCGTCCCAGTTGAGTATATCCTTATTTTGGCATATTTTAAATACGTGTTGAACTCTTAGCGGTGAAAATTTTAAACGACGGCGAATGGTTCGAAAATAACATAACTCAGATACCGATATTTTAAATTTGCTTTGAGATAGGGCGTTTTTGAAGCGGCAGCCGGAGTAAGGCGCTCTCCCACTCAGCCGACGACATCTAGTCGAAAATTTAATTTTAAGAAACTTATGCAAGGTAGCGTGTAATCTAATTTTCTTTTAAAAAACTTTACTAAATTATTATTTTTTGTACAAGCTGCACTCAATTTTGATTTCGCAAATTTTATCTCATATTTTTTTTCAACTTTTCTTGTAAAAATTTTCAAGTTATCTTTTTAACGTACCTGTGAAGATTTTACTAAGTTTTGGTCTTTACAATTTTATAGATTCTATATTTCCTTAATTGTTAAAATGCGCACTATTAATTTGGTATTTTGTAGATGGATACCTATATTTCGTATATAATTTTTTGTGGAACAAATTTTTTTTTGAGAGAGATTTTTTTAAATTTATATCTAAAGATGCAATTCTTTTTCCAACAAATTTCGGACGAAAGTTTCAGCAAATTTTGAACTCAATCTATTTCCTATTTTTTTATTTTTTAAAGTTTTTTTCCATCTAAAGATGGATTTCAATTTCAAACAAATTTTGAACGAAAATTTCAGTAAATTTTGAGCTCGAAACCTAATTTAGTTTTTGTGATTTGCTGCCAAAAACTTGTTCATTGTACTTACTTCTAGTTCAAAAACTTTTTAGTCACCTATGGTTTTTTTAACTTTTCCTTGAAGATTTTTACAGATTTTAATAAACTTTGTTCCCTAACACTTAATAGGATTTATTTTTTTTTCAGTATTTTATAAAAAATCAAATTTTACATACATACATAAATTTTTTCCCAAAAAAATGTTTCTTTTCCTGTTAACTTTTCAAAGACTAATCATCTCAAAAAATTTTCTACATAAGTTAAAAACAGTTTTGGAACAAAGTCCCGAAGTACGGGAACAAAAAAACCACATTTCATGCCCAGAATTTAAGAAACAGCTGATTCACGTTGTTTTTGTTTTTGTCACTTAAACGGAAACACTAGGAAATAGAATTTTGGTTTCACAAATTTGATTTTAAGTATACGAAGATTGAAAATAAATCTACAGTATATGCAGGCAACATGTAAACACAAAACAGCTGATATGCACTTTGACACTTTTTCCATTTTTACCCGGAGAAAAAGTCTAGGCTGTTTCAGGCAGGAAGAAGAAGACACTTACACTTACGGTACTTTGCAATTTTCACAGTCTATTACCCATTTTGTTGAGTATGGGAATGATTTCTGGGCTGTTTTGGGCATCCGCGGGATCCCGCGTTGCGTACGGGAAAGAACCTAATATTTATACATACATACTTATGTATCTTTTAATATCCTACTCGCATTCTCTCCCCGTTTAATAGGTCATCCAGCACGCCGCTCCAGCCGTCGTTAAGGTCGCCGCTCCCGCTCCAGTTGCCGTAGCGGCTCCAGTAGTCAAGTACGCCGCTCCCGCCATTTCTTACGCTGCGCCTGCACCAGCCATTTCCTACGCTGCACCGGCCATCTCGTACGCCGCACCAGCCATCAAATATGCCGCTCCTGCGATCTCGTACGCCGCCGCACCAGCAATTAGTTATGGACACATTGGAGGTATTAGTAGCTACGGACATATTGGAGGTATCAGTGGTTACGGACATTACGGACATTAAATGGGCAGCAAGTGAAGAAAAACAAAACAGAAAATAAACTAAAAAATAAAACAAAAATAAGAAGTAAAAGAAAATGAAGGCAAGTCAGCAGGGATTGAAGAATTTGTGTTTTACAAGGACGTATGGAATTATGGCTTAAATATTTTATAATTCAGCGCAGGTCCGCCCGGCGGTGGCCGACGCTTTAAAAACTTCGATATTTTTTTGTTTTGGTAGTCATTAAATGGTTTACTAGGATTTTCAAGGATCTAAGGATCTAAATAATATTTTTTCAGCCCTTGAAGGGAATTCTTCTTACGAGTACTTTACAACTACAATGGATTTTCTATCATTGATGGATTTACATTATATGTAAATGTGTTGACAACAAGAACAATAAAAATAATACAACAATGTTATAATAACAACAACAGCAGCAAGAACAATCAAGAACAACAACAAGAACGACAGTGAGCAGCCGCACGATGCAAGCACGAGGATAAAGTACGGGAGACAGTTTTGACAGAGTGAAGGAAAAATGGAGAAAAATTCACTTCACCATTTGCATTAATTTCTATTTGAAATGTATTTAACTACATAAATATTAATTGTTTAAATAAAATATTCACTATGGCAAAGCAGAAATTAAGTTCACGATGGCAGAAAAGCTCATGAATGTTACCCCCCAAAAAATACAACATTGCGTCATTGAATGCCCAAAGTGGCGCAGCTGAGGAATGTGGGAGAGTGGAATTTGAAGTATGCCAGTTAAAATGTTGACGAGAATATTATTTCATACATACATACATACATATGCTAACATACACATTTTGTATTTATTAAATGATTTTCTTTGTACTGTAACAACAACAAGAATAAAATGCTAAGTGAACTTTTTTCGATAAAAAAAATATTAAGTTTTTTTGCTTTTGACTTCACAGCTTTTGGGCGTACATATTAATAAGTAAATTTTGAGTAGTTGGCAACAAGTATATGTATTATCTAAAACTGCTGTGTGAGGTGTGATTTTAGAAGCTCGGCAACAGCAGAATATCGATGACTATAAATAAAGTACTGACGACGATAAAGCAGCAATTGTTGATTATCTTGGCCAACTCGCGCCAGGGATGCGTTTGTAGTCTTACGAATTCATCGCACTGAAAGATAAAAGAAAGAATTAAAAAATCTGAATATTTTTTTTTTGTACAAATCTTGCGTGCTTTTACAGCTATGATGGCCAAGCGTGATGGTTTACTCCGACTTTTTTTCGTACCATGATTACAAAACCTAATGAAAAAATCTCTCGTCTATAAGATTATAAGCTTATTTAAGACAACAAAGCTTTTATGTTAGCTTTCAAACACTAGATATTACTTTCCTACACAGAATAAGCTTTCGCCACGTGTTCACACAATCCGCTAAATTGTTTGATTTTCTGATGAAAGTCACACACTAGTATAGAAAGACGTACACTCAGTTTGGAAAAGGAAGCTTTCGCGCGAAAGCTTAGAATTAGCATAAACTTTTTATAAAGTACTTAAGCAAAATGTTTACCAAAAAAATCACATGAAACTACTTGTATAAAACCAAATTTTTCAGTGCTAATGCGGGAAGGAAGAGGGTCTCTATCAGAATAAAGAAAACTTCTGCCACGAACTTTCGCTGATAAGGATTCATTAGAAAAGTTTTTCCTAGCAAATAATCAAGCTTTAAATTTTAAGGCTGCAAGTTGTAATCCCTTGAAGTTTTTATGTGTAGCTTTCATAAGCATTTTCCAAACTTGAATACCCCAAAAACAAACTCTTGAAAACCTACATCAGTCACTCGCAGGCAGAGCAATAACCTCAGAGCTGATAGATTAATCAGCGTCATCATCCAGTCCATGGGTTTCGCCTTCGGCGGATACAGTTCCAGCCACATTAGTGCCACATGCAGCAAGTAGCAGAAAGTTGCAGTTCGCATGACGTGTCTATATGCATGCACTGGAAAGTAAAATAAAAATAATTTAACTAAACTACTTAAAAAAAACAAGGAAAACAACTCACGCATATTTGGTATATAAGCCGTGGGCGCATGCTTCGTGACAAACATCATACCCAGCGAAATTACGAAGAACACCGCAAGGATCAGCCCACCGCGACGATAGCCGCGCAATAGAAAAGATAACACGATGAGCGTTTCAGAGGCTACAAGAAAAAGAAAAAACAAACAAAAATTTGCTTAAAAAAGTGTTTGTGTTTAAAATTTTAATAAACCCTACCCACTAGCGGCATCATGAAGACATTCTTATAGAAACTGCCATTCCTTTCGATCACAAACTCCAGCGATATATCGCCATTCATGGTCTGCGCAATGGCCTGCGTACCATAACGATCCGTATTGTTATCGGCGGTGGCTATCACCGATAAGCTTATCTGTCTGAAATGCCACTCGCTTAGCATATTAAAAGGCTCCAATGGCAGTGGCAATGAGCTGTCGTAAGCCAAAGTGATGGGCTCGTGGGTGAGTGGCGAGAAAGATTTTAGGCCCAGTATTAGTCCACAATTTAGACGTTCATGTGGCCAATTGCGTTTCGTGTCAACACACCATGTGGTGAATTCTGCATTTGTATTAAGCATTGTCAAGTTGCCATTGGCATAAACCACCAAACCGATGTCGGGTTCATGTTGGGTGTCGTCGATGTTGTGAGCGGCACTGTGAGTGGTGTGCAGGGGAGAGAGAAAAAGATAAAAATCTTACATTTCGAAATTCCAAACGCAGTTTTGTTTGCAATTCCATTAACTTACTTAAGCAGTATTAAATCCGGCTGCCATATTCCCGCAGGTGCATTTCTGCTGCTGAAGCACACGGCTGGTATTCCATTTTCTTCCGCATTCCACGCCAGACGGGGGTCCTGCCAATACTGCATATGAAGTGGTAGTGGTGTATAATTGAGCAAGGAAAGAAAGCAAAATTTTAAAAAGTAAAATTTCATATTCGTTAATTACCAATTAAATTAAAAAAACATTTCAAATAAAATAAAATAAAATAAAATCAAATCAAATCAAATCAAATCAAATCAAATCAAATAAAATAAAATAAAATAAAATAAAATAAAATAAAATAAAATAAAATCAAATAAAATCAAATAAAATAAAATAAAATAACATCAAATCAAATCAAATCAAATAATAAAAAATGAAATTGAAATTAAAATAAAAAAAAATAAAATAAAATAAACTCGGGAACTTTTCTAATGAGAACGAAAGTATCGAGAACATTTTAAAGGAGGATAGCATAAAAACAAAGGTCTAGGGAACGTTGTGTTTGAGAACAAACGTTTTGAGAACTTTACGTTAAGGATGTGAGGAGCATCTACGTTTTGGGATGAAAAATCGTTTGAGTGAAAATCACTTTTCTTAATCCAAAGCCAGAGGACAGCTGGATCATATCAACTTCCAGGTCGTTTATTATTAGGGTGAGCTGTCCATTTATGTCCATTTATGGATGTTCTGTGCAAGAAAAGTTCGTGTCTTAAATCTTTCGCTGGACTTTATTTGCATAGTTAACTTTCAGTTATTTTTTATTAATTTTAATATTCAAACATTTCAAACTAATGAACGCTATGAGAAACGCTTTGTTTTCGATTCCTTTCTTCGCGAATAGTTCAGAGAAGATCTGTTCCCGTTTCGTTCTCCTTGTTCCTCGATAGAAAGTTCCTTAGAGTTTATTTCCTTGTTCTGTTCTCTTGGAAATGTTCTCGAAAATATTACTAGCATTTTGTTCTCTTTGGGAATGTTCCACAGGGTTTTGTTCTGATAAATGTAGTTCCCATTAAGAACGTTCTCTATAGTTTTTTTCTCATTTCGGTTTTGGTGTTGAAGGGTACTTGGAAACCAAACTACAAGAACGACATTTAGTTCCGATCATACCTTTTGTTCTAAGTTCCTGGTTAAATTAAAAAAAAATTAAATACATACATATATACCTTTGAATTTTTTTTTATTTAAACATATTTTTCTTTCTTTTAAAAAAATAGATATTTGCACTGTCGATTTTAATTAGAAATTGTTAGCATTTTTTCCACATTTTTCAACTCTTAAAAAGTTCATAAGTACATATATACTTTGGAGTGCAATGGGGTATAGTCATTGCGCTGGGTATGCAGTTACAGTTGCATGGCTATACTCAATCCCGACTCTTGCGTCCTCGTTCGCGCACTCTGGGCAACGTGAGCAACCCATGTGCGAGATGCGGTAACCAATCCGAGTGGAGCCTTGGGTCACGGCAGAAAGAGAGGGAGCTTCGGTGGGGCCACTCTGACTTATTCGGTTTAAGGGCTCACTGAAGTCTGCAGCGTCTGTTCACCAGTAGGTGCGGCTGCAAGCGGGTGTCTGCTTGGAGCAAGCGGCTCGCTATATAAACGTGTATTTGGTTGCGAAACCACCCCCGTCCCAGCAATGGGTTGTGCGCTGGGCTTGGGACACGCCACGTAAAAACCACTTCCAGTGAAGAAGCAAGGCAAAGCCTCGGATGAGACCCCCCCTTATGATGACGACCACGGCAAATGTTTAAAGGACTACGATTTGAGGGCATGCACCTGGAATGTCCGGACCCTTAATGGGGAAGGTGCCTCTGCCCGGCTGGTTGATGTCCTCGTAAGGACAAAAGCTGACATCACCGCCATCCAAGAAATGCGTTGGACGGGGCAAGGCAAAGAATGTCTGGGGCCTTGCGACGTCTACTACAGCTGCCATGTAAAGGAGCGCAAATTCGGAGTTGGATTTGTGGTGGGAGAGAGACTCCGTCGCCGAGTACTGTCGTTCACCCCGGTGGACGAGCGTCTAGCCACAATCCGCATCAAAGCGAGATTCTTCAACATCTCGCTCATCTGCGCCCATGCCCCGACGGAAGAGAAGGATGAGACATCCAAGGATCTCTTCTATGAGCGCTTGGAGCGCACGTACGAGCGCTGCCCCCGTCATGATATCAAAATCGTGCTTGGCGACTTCAATGCCAGGGTGGGCAAAGAAGGGATCTTT